GCCCACAGTGTGATCTCTCTCTCTCTCTCTCTCTCTCTCTCTCTCTCTCTCTCTCTCAGGACATAGGGAGGCAGGGTAGATATGTACCAAAACTGACAGGAGGAGACAAAACTCCCCAAGGAGACAAAGATATTTTTGGGCTAATACTCTCTTAGGAATAAGCCTTAGGGGCTGGAGAGAGGTCTCAGTGGTTAGGAGCGCTTACTGCTCTCACAGAGCAGCCAGATTAGGGTCCCACTGTCCACTTCTGCTCGAAGGGGATCCCACACACCTCTGGCCCCTGTGGGTTCCTATATTCACACGCATAATCAAGTCAACAAAGCTGCTTCAAGTCCTTTTTTTTTTTTTTTTTTTTTTTTTTGAGCAGTTCAAACATCTTAATGGGCCAGCCCAGTTTTCAGCTCTGCTCTCTGTCCAGTCATCCCATTTGCCACTCTTCCAAGACACGATATTTAAATTTCAGCTGTGCTTTATATCTCAGAACTGACACATTCAGGGGACATCAATGTGGCTCTCTCAGGGATGCAAAGATGTTCACTTGCTCCAAGCAAAGCAGCATTTGAGGGTTCTGGGGGAATTCTGAAGATATAGGGTTTGCTGCCACGCCAAGCTCAGTCCCCAGAGCCCATAGTAGAGGGAGAGAACCAACTCCCACTAGGTCTTCTTTGACTTCAAATGTGCACCATGGCACACACATAGTGCACAAAAGAAATAAAATATAGAAATATTTATACTCTTAAACCAGCATTTGAATATCCTTCACAGAACTGACCCCTGAGATATCTGAAGACGTTCACTGTGATTGGGTTGCTATGATGTCAAACAAAAACTTTTTTTGTCTTCTCCGTCTTATTTCTTTTTAAGTGTTTTCATTTATCTTTGATGTATATGAATATGATGCATTGCTCTCATCATTCATTCCCTATCTTCTTCCCTTTCCTCCCCCAACGACTTCTTTCTTCTACTTTCCTTTCTTTTTCTTCTTTGAAAACCCACTGAACTTAACTAATGTTGTTTGCATGAAATGGGTGTGGGGTTATTTACTAGAGCAAGGACAATTAACCAGTGGACACACCCATGAAGAAAAGTGACTGTCCTTTCTCCTGTAGCCATTAACTGCCAATAGCGCCTCTGCTAGAGATAGGCCTTCTTGCGGGAACTCATTCAGCCAATAGCTTTTGAGGTACGAGCCCCTTCTGGGCGTGATCCTCGGTGCTACTTGTGGGCTACGAAGCATGCTCTCTCTCTCTCCCTCTCTCTCTCTCTGTCTCCGGTTTTTCGAGACAAGGTTTCTCTGTGGCTTTGGAGGCTGTCCTGGAACTAGCTCTTGTAGACCAGGCTGGTCTCGAACTCACAGAGATCCGCCTGCCTCTGCCTCCCGAGTGCTGGGATTAAAGGTGTGTGCCACCAATGCCCCATGCATGCTCTCTCTCTCTCTCTCTCTCTCTTTCTCTCTCTCTCTCTTGAGTGGTGGTGGGAGATCATCCTGCACCCCCAGGCCAGAAGCCCGTGGTGGCTGTCTACCTTTATTGTGTGAGTGTTCCCCAAATAAATATTTGATATTCAGGCTCCTGTGGATTTCCTTATTCCCACCTGCAGAGCCTCATCTTCCTTCCCTACCCTTGCTGGGCTAATGATCCTTTGTAGGTCTCTAACAGCGAACCACAACTGCTGCAAGATCATTAGTGCAGCTCCTGGGTCATGTCCACAAGACGGCATTTCACAGCAGTCTTCCTCATGCTCCAGCTCTCAGAATCCTTCAGTCCCTCTTCCACCATGGTCTTGGACACAGTGATACATTTTTCTGAAATTATCTCAATTTCAAAGAGACAGAAATTTTGCCAGACCTTGCAGCCAAGATAATAATAACCATGACATCATCTAAGATTATGTATTTAACCGGCTATCCTACTGTGTGCTTAGCCTGTTTAAATTTAACATGCCTTTAAGGAACAATATACCAACCTTACTATGCCTTGATTTCCCATGCAATCAGCTTTTGCAACCTAAGCTAATTCATAGCTTGAATCTTAAATTAGGAATTCTTCTATGCCAATGACCCAGAATAATGCATATGTATGTTTGTTGAGTCATCATTTGCTAAAAGCATCCAACAGACTGAAAGCAACCCATAAATCTTGGAAGCAACGTGCAGATATAAGTTCATAATGTCTGTCTGCAGTTCTGAGTGTATTCTGGGTCAGCTGGGGGTCAGCTCTTCCCCTGAAAAACTCTGGCAATGATTCCCATAAAGAACCACTAATTTCTCTCCCATGCCATGTTTTCTAGACTGTTCAATAAATACGGAGCAAAGCCCTTTGTTAGAGAATGACAGAAGAGCCAGGACACAGAGACAAATAGATCACACACACACACACACACACACACACACACACACACACACCAGACAGGTCATGGGGGCAGATCACACACACACAACAGACAGGTCCCAGGGACAGGTAGATCACACACACATACAAACACACACACACACACACACACACACACACACACACACACAGGCAAGCTCCAGACAAGCCAGTAACTATAAGCTGCAGACAGATGGAAGGAACAATGAGAGAAGTGGAGCATTCAAACTTAGGCTCCCATCCCACTCTTGGTCAAATTAATCCAAGAAGACTGTTTTCATTCCTTAAACATCAACCCATTTGTGTAACTTCTGAGTTTCCCCTAATGTGTTAAGGAATGTACCCTGAAATTTGTGGGGATATAGCTTCAAGATAGAAGTTCTAAAATTGATTAGATCCACTCTTCAAAGGCCTTCTGAGTGCGCTCAGAAATACAACTAGATATCACCATAAATGTTTCTGAAGATTGTGGCGCTATTAGAACCTAAGCTATGTTTACAGTAGTTCATATCTGTAACCCCAGCACTTGTTGAGGCAGAGATGGGAGACGCAGAAGTTCAAGGACAGCCTTAGCTATATAGGGTGTTCAAGGTTACTCTGGGCTATATCTCAAAAAAAAATTAAGCCATTATTACCACCTGGTTAAACTCCAGTTGTTTTAGGGTTTGGAAATATGAGTTATCTACAGCACAAGGTGGTGATAGTAACTACAGCTAAACTCCTAAAGCACGGGGCCTTAAAATCTCATAGTGACATCTCTGTGTGTAAGTATAGGTTCTATGAAGTATTTGTTCTATTTCAGAGATAGCTTAGATCATGCCCTTAAAAACATTGGCATGGCCAGGAGGTGGTGGCTCACTCCTTTAATCTCAGCACCCAGCAGGCAGAAGCAGGAGGATCTCTATAAGTTTGAGTCTAGCCTGGTCTACAGAGCAAGTTCCAGGATAACCAGAGCTGTTACACAAAGACGCCCTGTCTTGAAAAACCAAAATAAATAAATAAATAAATAAATAAAGTAAAAGACATCAGCATGATGTTGACTCACCTGTCTCAAGCAGACACCAAGAGAGCAGCAACAGGAGAAGGTTCCAGACATCAGCTGGAACCAGACATCAGCTAAGTGTTCACACAAGGCTTCCGTCTGGAAAGGGATTATATGAATATGGCGGATGACAGGAAAATTCTCTGCAAAAGATCAGAGCCCCCAAAGCAGCCACAGTCCAAGGAAAAGGAAAACGTGACCTCTTTGTTCACAAATCAAAACTTCCCAAGTTTGGTCCCAAGAGGAAAAACTTCATTAAAAGACTCCAACTGATGGTCCTAATGGCTCATGCTCGTAATCCCAGCCAGACCAGCAAAGGCTGCATGCACTGTGAGAACCAAGGTTTTTTTTGGGGGGTGGGGGGTTGTTTTTTGTTTTTGTTTTTGTTTTAAATGGATCAGCAGTTAAGAGTGCTTGCTGCACAGTCATGGAGACCAGAGTTCAGGTCACTGCACCCAGGCAACAAACTAACCAACTGGGCATGACACAAAAGAGAGTAACTCTAGATCCAAGGGACCCAGCACTGTCTTCTGGCCTCTGTGTGTGAACAGGTGTGCCTGCCCACACTCATGTGCATACATTTACAAAGACTCACACACATAAAATAAAACGCACTTTTAAAACGTCTCCAAAAAAAGAAATACAAATCCCTCATTGCTCAGTTTGCACACCGCTGTCAAGCTTCATGAACCCATAAGGGGAACCCAGAGGGACACAGGCACACACAGACTGGAAACTAGAGCTTAATTGGTTTTCTTGTGCAATAGCACCAAGTCTGCAGCCAGCCAAACCACAAAAGCCTGTTTTTATTAAAATTTGACATGTTATTCATTATGGACTCCTTTTCAGTGATTGTAACTTTTAAAATATGGCATCAAGTAGTTTTCTCAATGCCTGATTTTTTGTGTCATGGCCCCTGAGTCCTAGCCCCACTAATCAGATTGACTTCATGGGAAGAGTGTGTCTTGGGCACCCAGGACCTCTGGCTTTGAGTGTGTAACTTGGAAAGCTTAATACTGTCCCTGTCCTGGCCCCAAACAGACCTATTACATCAGAATTCCTGGGAGTGGAGCCCAGTGTATGTCTGAAAATCTCTCCAGGTGACTCTGTTCTGCCAAGCTGCAGACCACTGCCTTAAAGAAATATTTAGCATCCTCTATAAGGGACAAGAGAAAGAAGACATCATCATCTTGGCTTGGTCACCAAAGTCCATGATGGCTCCTTTTTCTGAAGAGGAGGAGCTTGGTAGGATGGTACACTCCTGCAATCCCTGAATGTAGGAGACTGAGACAGGAGGATTGCTAGTGGTGATGTTTTGGAAGAGTGTGGAACACTGAGGAGGTAAAGCCCTTCATTGTATGTTACATACAGTTCAACCCACTGATAAACCAGCCAGCCTCCATCTTGGGCTTAAAAACCATCTTACAGTAAAGTCAAACTGGACTCATTCCCGTTTATGATTAAATCTGTTTCTCAAGGATGGGACTATGCCCATCTGTGACCTTAACTGCAAATGGTTCTGTACTGCCTGTTCCGGGAATGGCAACCATGCCTTTGTTTCAAAAGGCTGTTACGATCACCTTGTCATGCTTATTCTTCTGTGACCCCTGCCTATTTGCCTGCCAAATCCCCTATTTAAAAACCCCTTACTCCTGAGACATAAAAACCTTATCTTTGGGGCTGGAGAGATGGCTCAGAGGTTAAGAGCACTGTTTGCTCTTCTAGAGGTCCTGAGTTCAATTCCCAGCAACCACATGGTGGCTCACAACCATCTGTGATGAGATCTGGTGCCCTCTTTTGTGGTGTAGCAGACGTGCAGACAGAACACTGTATATATAATAAATAAATCTTTTTTTAAAAAAGAAAAAAACTTATCTTCCCCATGTCCAGTGCTGACCTCCTGAGCCCTGCCTTGGGGGAAAAACAGCAATGTACACGCATAAAGCTTGCTTTAATTAATTTGGCTATGATTTGGGTCGGTGACCTTTCTAGTCACATCTTTGGGATTAACACCACCCACCCACTTTCACAAACAAAACTCTGGGAATTGTAATTTAATATCTTCCCAAAATTCTTCCCTGGAGTCTTTTCTCGTCATCCTAAAATACTTTCTCTTGATGGCTTTGCCAGGTCACTGGTTTCAGGGCTCTTCCTGCTGGTGAGCAGCTTACACCACCCCCCTCCACCTCCACCGCCCCTTCCCACTTCCCCCCTTCCACGCCCACAGTCTGTCCTGGACTGTCTTAAGTCCTATCCTCCCTCACCCAGTCAGTGCAGCCCAACTGGACTAGCTAGCATCTTAGCTTCCTAGTATGCAGTTTGTGGGCCTGTGAAGATGACTAAACCCCTGCTTCACAAATTCAGCCCACCGCCCCTTTTGATTTTGCTTCCTAACACAAATCACAGGGTTTCTTCTTATGCAGTTAGTCACCCTCGGAGAACAGCTTAGAGTGGTCTTTATTCTATTTTATTTTATGCATGTTGTCTTAGTTAGGGTTTTCATTGTTGTGATGAAACACCATGACCAAGGCAACTTGGGGAGGAAAGGGTTTATTTCAGCTTACACTTCCAGGTGACAGCCCATCACTGAAGGAAGTCAAGGCAGGAACTCAAGCGTGGCAGGAGCTGACGAAGAAGGCATGGAGGGGTGCTGCTGACTGTCGTGCTCCTCATGGCTTGCTCAGCCTGCTTTCTTATAGAACCCAGGACCACCAGCCTAGGGATGTCACCACCCACAAGGGTCTGGGCCCTCCCCCATCAATCACTAATTAAGAAAACAGCCTACAGGCTTGCCTACAGCTGATCTTATGGGGCATCTTCTCAGTTGAGGTTCCATCCTCACAAATGACTTTAGTTTGTGTCAAGTGGACTCCTGGGTCCTTGCTCCCTTGTTCCCTCCCTTGCTGTCTGAGGTGAAGAATCCTCTCTGCCACATGCTCCTGCCACCAGAATGTTCCCAAGTACATGGGGCCAAGTGACCACACAGTGACCCCTCCAAAACCACGGGCCATTACTGATCTTTGCTTCCTTAAGTCCTTCTGTCAGGTGTCTGTCTGGTCACAGCTATGACAACAGTAACTAAAACACAAAGCTTGGAAGAGGAGAATTACTCTGAAAAACACAAGTTCCAGCCAGAGGGCGGGCTATCACATGACACTAAAAAGGGCTATGGCGTAACTCTATCCAAAAACACAGAGAAAAGCATCTACACCTCATGCGAAGGACTGAGGAAGTAGTTGTGTTGCCAGTGGCGGGAAGGGCTGTTGGGCTTGGGAGACGGCTGTCAGTAACATGTTGGATACACAAGCATGAGAACCTAAGTTCAAGACCCAGAACCCATGTTGGGCAGGGAGAGAATGGTGGTGAATGCTTGCAATTCCAGCGCCAGAGAGGCAGAGATACATGGACCCCAGGAGCCCTCTAGCTAGCCAGCCTAGTGGGTCAGCTGTAAGCCAACAAGAGACCCTGTCTTCAAAAATTCAAATAATAATCTGAGCCAGTGAAGAGATGCAGTGGGGGAAGGCATTTGTTGTAAGTCTAAAGACCTAAGTTTGATCCCCGGGCCCACATGGTTGAAGGAAAGATCGGGCTTTTACAAGCTGTCCTCTGACCTCTGCACTTGTGCCTTGACACACGTATAAACACGCACACAAATAAAGTGAGAAAAATGTTTTCAAGCATAAGGTGGATGACACTGGAGAACAACACTTAAGCTTGGCTTCCAGCTTCCACATGGACATACACACATATACAGAGGTGCATACATTTGCACACACACACACACACACACACACACACACACACACACACACACACACCTGAACATACACAAAATAGAACATAATAAACCAGATGGCCCCTCCGTGAACAACCTAGGAGAATTCTGGATAAACCCTCCAGCTGAATTTGCTGTTAGTTACCTGACTTCAGTAGGCTTTAATAATCACGAATTGAATTATTCGGTCATACAACTGACAATGTAGCATTGGTCTCCCATCATCGAGGCTGTGGGTGATGCCTCCAACACTGGGATCATGATGGTATCTTTACCTTGGCTGCCTTTTAGGGATTCCCAAGCTGGGTTTTTTTGTTTGTTTGTTTGTTTGTTTGTTTGAAAACACGGGCTCTTCTCTTTGGGCTGAGTGAGTGTGGGATGGATATACATCAAAGGGCCAAGAAGATCACCAGGTTCTTTTGTTTTGTTTTGTGTCTGACAGAGGCTCACGATGTAGCCCTGTCTGACCTAGATCATCTTGCTCTGTAGACCAGACTGGCCTTGAACTCACAGAGATCTGCCTTCCTCTACCTCTTGAGTGTTGGGATCAAAGATTACACTATCACACTCAGCTTATACCGCCATGTTCCAAGCATGCAGTCTGTGAAGAGCTGTCAAGACTGGACACATACATGCAGACTGCTAGCTGCACCCTCTGACCCCTCAGCACCTTCCCCTGCACCTCAGACCCCTGTGTGTGGGTGTGTGAGAAACTACAGCCCTGGGTAAGCTGATACTCATGGCAATCCTCCTGCCTCAGCCTCCGGAATCTTGTGATCACAGGCATGAGCTACTAATCTTGGCTCACCCTGCTTCTTTATCATATAAATACTCCTCCCCAAATCCTATCCTGGGGAGGTAGATTTGAGACCTACCTTCACACACAGTCACTTCCTGAATAAACTTGCCTTTCAAAAATATTTATTTTATTTATGTGAATGTTTGCCTGGAGGAATGTATGTGCATCACATGTGTGCCTGGTACCCAAAGAGACAAGAAAAGGGTGTAGGATTCCCTGGGACCTGAGTTAGAGGTGGTTACGAGACACCGTGTGGTTGCAGAGTCCCCTGGAAGAGCAGCCAGTCAGTGCTCTTAATGGCTGAGCAATCTCTCCAGCCCCTGAATAAACTTCCTCCTTCGAAAAACCCATTATTTTGTTTTAACTGGTATACTCCACTAGGTAAAAATGGGTCTGATTTGGTAACACGTGGTATTTAGCTTCAAATAGTAGACACAGTGCCAGGCATAGTAGTGAGCATTGAAATCCCAGCACTCAGGACGTTGAGGAAGGAGGCCCTTGAGTTTCAGGCCAGCCTGGGCTGCA